GAAACAGGTTGGACATGCCATTTACAGCGCTTTGATAAACATATTCACTGGCGTTTCAAGAACACTGTGAAACTCAACGGAATCAATCGTCGCCAAAAGCCACACGCCAGCTTTACTGAGGGAACGTTCTTTTGATGGGCACAAAATTGTATGCATCTACTAATGCTATTCAAATTTCCTAGTCATTGACCGGTTGGTAAACATTTGTCTTATGGAAACCTTCATTTCTGTGATATCCATAGCGACGAAACCATGCGAAATCTTCTTTGCTTTCGCCAACCGAAACTCGGCTAATGCTAAAATTGAGAAGTTGCGGCAAATTCTCACGAAACCGTTTTGCAGTCTATACCCAAACCGTGGGCGGTTGGTCAACCACCACACTTCATCGAAGCGTAAACAGCATGGCTAACATATTCTTGAAAGTTATTCTACTTATGCTAATTTATTTACTGTTATTTGAGAGGCCAGGCTTCTGGAACTCGAGCTTGCCCGTTTTATATTATCCTACGCGTTTTTGGAATTTCGCGTTTGCTTATGAAAACTGTTGATTCTAACCAACGTAGTGTTGCATCTAGTATTTCATAAATGCTTTCACTTCAGATATGATTGTTCTTTATTATTTTGGCGATTTTATTGATGCATTTTGGTAGGTTTTCGAGGGATTAGAGATTTTTTGCAAATTTGTGCACATTCAGTAAAATACCACATGTAATCCAGAGCAGGCAGGCATAGGAATTCACACATGGTCGCACACTATATCAATCAAACACGGAACTAGCCTTTCGAATGGACGTACTTCCCGAGGGTGTTTGGTGTCGCTTTGTTTTTCAGTACTCTCATCTAGACTTCAGGTAGTCTGTATTTCAGTAAATCACCAGTAACTCCAAAAACGAGCTTCAAAAATCGTTGTAGATGTTTGACTGTGACCTAATTCAACTCTGTTATTCGTTTGTCTTGTATGCAGCGAATAAGGTTGATTTGTGAGGATAAAAATACATACTGAGTCAGGCGTTTATCAGCCTTGCCTTGATCGGATGTCAAAAAACACTTGCCCCTTTACAGAGACGCCAAACTAAGAATCGTATAACTAACGGGGACGCAAAGACAAAGAAAACTGAGCGACCGGTCGTTCTGGGTTTCCGGATGTCCTCATGAACCAACCGTACTTTTACCAACTCCTGGTCGGAAACAGATTGTTTGAGTGGCCTCCAGATGAACTCTAGCTAACTGGTCATCGGTTTCATAGGCCAAAGCGTCATCACCGGAAATGATAGGCCGTTTATTCGAGTAGAAGTAGAGCAGGAAAAACGGCACATAGTAATAGGACTCTCATGCTTTTAATACTGCTAGTAGATGTTAGCAGCGGAATTAGTGACCGCAGATGGGACGAATGAGTCTGACGCAGTTTATCGTCACATCTCGCCGTCTCTACGTTGTCTTACTCCAGTTGACCTTTGTTTGACAGCTTAGTGATCGATCGGTATTTGTCCATTTCAAGCCTTCATCAGCGGGTATCGGGGTTCATTTACTCGGGGCAGCCAAACAGAGTTAGTACGCACTTGTGTATTCGACTGTACATCCAACTCAAATAGAAAAAGAGTTATTACTATAATACTTTCATTTCAGAAAACTAACTAAAACCTGTGTTGGCTGAATCCAATCCATATACCTCGGAAGGTTTATACCCTACCTATAGAAAAGGTGGCATTGTGACCTGCTAACTTTCCGAATGCACCAACTAGTTTATCTTGCCGTCGTCAGACAGTCGCACCTCAAATACCACAGGGCGATTAAAGTTTTGGAGCCGCGTTCAGTTTTAAACCTGAGTTTTGAGAATGAAAGAGCGATAAGCTTGGATGATAATTCTACCATCGCGAACGACGAGTCCCACCACTGCTCCGCGAGGCAGACTCGGCTGTTACTTGCGCATGCACTTATTTAAAGTGAGACAGCTTTGCAATGCATGTGTCCCTGTCGGTCTTCCCACACCCGCCCTATTCGGTTAACAAAACACAGTCAAGACGACCGGAAGTCGGCGTGGGTGCAGTGGCTGGCAGAAACTAAACAGGACGCTTATGCGCAGCACACATGACCTGCACCCTGCTCTACGTATACTAAGTTCAAATTTGAAGGAATCCGAGACTCACGTAAGTGAGTGGTGACATTAGGACCACATAAAGTAGAAGTCACTGCAGCCTAGTCTTAATTTCTGGATAGGATTGAGTTATTCCGTCACTTGACAACATTCCAATTCATGACTGATGGCAAGTCATGGTAGCTTCATACGTTACAAATCGTCTATTGTGGGCAAAGCGCTTATCTGCCGCAAGGATAGATTGCACCTCAGTACCGGTTCCACCTTCTCTCCCCCCCCCTCATGCACCAGTCGGCTTTCCAAACCTGCCAACCAACTGGCAGCGAGATCGGGAATAGTGACTGATGCGGTGTAAAGGCATGCGCCTACGCCTGGCACGCACGAACTTGTTTTTAACTCAACAGGACTGGTCTTCTTCGTGTTTCGCATTTCTCACATCATCGTGACGGGCATTTTTCCACATTTGACCATCCAAATGTCGTAAGGATGATGACAAATTGCACTGCACGACTGTTGCGTAAGGGATGTATGTTGTCGTGTGTGTATGCACGTGTCACCGAATGGGATGTAGGGATGTCCAGCTGTGGATCCACGTGACGGTCGTATTTTGGTCGCTCGCTCGCTTGCAGACGTAGACTATGCCTAGCGTCCATTTGATGGCACCCAACCCTTATATGTGGCTCCCCGAAGCTAGGCTCTGCCCAGACAAATGAGCCCCCAGGTAAGCGAACACTGCTCTACTGCCTTTGCTTTAGCTGGTTCCTTTTTGTTTTTTTTTCACTGTCTGCTCATTTGTGTCCGTCCTTGTTGAAAGCAAAACACCACCCGGTTGAATTTCCTCTGTTGCCCTTGTTTTTTGCTGTTCTTTCCTGCTGTTTGTCTGCTTATTTGTGTTTGTCCTTTTGTAACCTGAATGCCGTTCTCTTAAATTTGTCTGCTCACCGCTTATATTCCAACAACCAGTTTGCTTACAGCTCTGCTCCCCGTCTCCCTACCCTTCCACCGTCACCGCCCCCACCCCTACAAGTCCTACTGCGATGTCGTAGGCAGGCTCAGGCTAACTCGGGTCGTTCTTCCACTAAGCAAAAGCCGTGGCCCATAGTGAAGTTTGGCAGCCGTCTGGGACAAATGATTAACCCTATTTAGGGATATCACTGCCCACTCCAGCGAGGGGGGAGGGGGCTAGAAAAGGTGCCCTAAGCAAATGCTGGGAAACCACGCTGTCTGCAGGCTAACCGTGTTCGCAGACGCAAAATACGCAGTCGAAACAACCCAAACAGAAACAATACTCTCTCTCTCGTTTCCCAATCCTCCTTTCCGCCGACTCACTCGCCAGGCTGGTAGGGTGAGTCCGCTTACACTGGCAGCCTGGAATGCTCGTCCCCTTTTGGACAATCCGAGGAGCAACTGACCGGAACGGAGGACGGCGCTAGCGGCTCGAGAACTGGCGCTCAACAAGGTGGACATCGCCGCACTCAGCGAAACTCGATTCTCCGGACAAGGCCAACTGGAGGAGGTGGGTGCCGCTTACACCTTCTTCTGGAGCGGTCGCCCCAGGGCAGAGCGATGAGACGCGGGTGTCGCCTTCGCCATTCGGAACGACATCGTGTGACGACTGCCCTGTTTGCCGCAGGGCATCAACGATCGCCTGATGAGCCTCCGCCTGCCTCTCTGGGGAGGCAAATTCGCCACCATCATCAGCGCCTGCGCTCCGACGATGACCGACCCCGACGCCGTCAGAGACAAAGTCCACGAGGACCTGCACGCCCTCTTGGCGGCTGCGCCGAAGGCGGGAAAGTTGATTGTCCTTGGTGACTTCAACGCCCGCGTCGGCACGGACCATGCTGCCTGGAGAGGAGTGCTGGGTCCCCATGATCTCCGCGGCTCAAATGACGATGGTCTGCTGCTTCTCGGCACCTGCGCAGAACACCGCCTCATCCTGACGAACACATTCTTCTGCCGGCCAATACGAAAGAATGCCCCCTGGATGTATCATCGGTCGCGTCAGCGGCACTTGCTGGACTATGTCCTCGTCCCGAAGCGAGGTCAGCGGGACAAAGGCAATTCCGGGTGCTGACGGCTGGACCGACCATCGCCTCGTCATCTTGAATATGCGGATTCACCTTTCAGCCTTGCAGGAGACCACAAGGTAAGCGACCCCCAGGTAAGCTGAATATTGCCTTGTTGTCTTTGCCTGTTCACCATTTCCATTTCGGCATCAGGCTAGCTCAACGGCTAGACAACCTTCCAGTCGCTGCCGCCGTCGCCACCGCTGACGAGAACGCCTCCGTGGAGAACCGATTGTGTCAACTGCCGGGCACAGTCCAGTCGACGGCGCCGGTCGTCCTCGTTCGCACACGCCGCCAACACTCGGACTGGTTCGACGACAACAACGTCGCCATCAGCAATCTGCTCGCCGAGAAGAACCGCCTGCGCAAAGTCTACGTTGATCACCCCACCGATGACAACAGAGCTACTTTCTACCGTATTCGTCGCCTTGTACAACAGCGGCTGCGCAAGATACAGGACGTCTGGACGGTTCGCAAGACTGAGGAGATCAGAGCATACGCGGACCGCAACGAATGGAAGCACTTCTTCGCGATCAAAGCTGTCTGCGGCCCGCCAGCCGAAGATACTGCACCTCTTCTCAGTGCCGACGGCAGTACTCTACCCACTGAGAAGACACAAATTCCACAGAAATGGGCCGAGCACTTCCGAGGCGTCCTCAACCACCCCTACACCGTCTCCGACATCGCCACTGCCCGTCTACCACAAGTGGAGACCAACGTCGACCTCGATCTCCCGCCCTCTCTCGACGAAACGATCAGGATCGTGCAGCAGCTCTCCAGCGGGAAAGCGCCCTGGCCGGACGCGATGCCTGCTGAGATCTACAAGCACAGTGTCCCCCAACTCATGGGTCATCTGATGGCGCTCTTCCAGGAGATGTAACATCAAGGAGAAGTCCCACAGGATTTCAAGGACGCCACAATCGTCCATGTCTATAAGCGGAAAGGAACCCGCCACCTCTGCGACACCCACCGAGACATCTCCTTACTGAACATCGCCGGGAAAATTTTTGCCCGCATCCTTCTCAACCGCTCGAATAACCACCTAGAAGGTCTTCTGACGGAAAGCCATTGCGGCTTCCGCCGTCATCGTGAGACAACGGACATGTTCTTCGTCGCCCACTAACCTCAGGAGAAGTGCCAAGAGATGCGGACCCACCTGTATTCTACCTTCGTGGACCTGACGAAAGCCTTTAATACAGTGAATCGTGAAGAACTGTGGAAGATCATGCAGAAATTCGGCCGTTCGGAACGATTCACTTAGATGGGGCGGTAGCTCCACGATGGCATGATGGCGCGCGTCACGGACATCGGAGCTGTTTCAGAGGCATTCGCATTGGCCAACGGAGTGAAGCAGGGATGCGTGCTGGCGCCCACCCTCTTCAGTATTATGTTCTCTGCCATGCTGATGGATGCCTAACGTGACGAACGCCCCGGGATCCGCATCGCCTGCAGGACGGACGACCACCTCCTCAACCACAGGCGGGTGCGCTTTCAGTCGCATGTATCCACAACCACCGCCCACGAATTTCTATTCGCCGATGACTGCGCCCTCAACACCACCTCGGAAGGGGATATGCAAAGGGCCATGGATCTCTTCTCCGCCGCCTGCGAGAACTTCAGTCTGATCACTAACACGGAGAAGACGGTGGTCATGCGCCAACCGCCACCCAACACAGCCCACAATATGCCGCAAATCAACGTGAACGAAACCCAACTGCAAGTGGTGGAGAACTTCACGTATCTCGGCAGCACCCTCTCCCGCAGCACCAAAATCGACGATAAAGTGGCCCACCGGATTTCGAAGGCCAGTCAGGCCTTCGGTCGTCTTCAAAACACAGTTTGGAACCCTCACGGTTTCCAGCTCAGCCCGAAACTGAAGAAGTATAACGCCGTCATCCTCCGGACGTTGTTGTATGGAGCAGAGACTTGGACGGTGTACATGAATCAGGCACGCAAACTCAACCACTTCCATCTCATTTGTCTTAGCCGAATACTGAATCTGATGTAGCAGGACTGAATCCCCGACACTGATGTACTGGAGAGGATGGGAATCCTCAACAGCTACGTCATGCTGAGACAAATGCAATTGCGTTGGAGCGGCCACCTCATGCGGATGGACAACGGGCGGCTGCCTAAACGACTCTTCTATGGCGATGTCGCCGCGGGTTCATGTCGCCAAGGAGGCCGAATCCGTCGATACAACGACACTCTGAAGACCTCCCTGAAGCGTCTGCGGATCGAACCGGCCAACTGGGAAGACCTCGGAGAGATCGACCGACGTGAAGGAAGACAGCGAAGACAGGCGGAGCGATCTACGAAGCCAACTGCATCGCCTCCGCGAAGGCCAAACGAGAAGCTTGCAAATCTCAGCTTCGCCCACCTCGTAAAGTCAACGCCCAACCGCCCCCAACGTGTCCACGGTGTCAGCAGACATTCCAGGCGCAAATTAGACAAGGTGGACACCTTCGGATCAACTGCAGCACCCGGACTGCAGCAACAATCGTCTCTCCGTCCACCTCTCCCCCGCCTCCTACGTCGTCAACGTACTCTGGCTGCCCTCACGAACCACCACTTCCATCATCATCATCATCATCATCATCATCATCATCATCATCATCATCATCATCATCATCATCATCATCATCATCATCATCATCATCATCATCATCATCATCATCATCATCATCATCATCATCATCATCACCACCACCACCACCATCATCATCATCATCATCATCCCCCTCCTCCTCCTCCCCTGCTGCCTCTACGTCGACCGCTGTGGCGTCTGCCACACACATCAACATGACACACAATCCTGACACAACAACAAACACTAACACCACCACTGTCGACACCAGTGGTGAGGACCCGGTCGATACCTGTCCCCATTGCGATCGCACCTTCACCTCACACACCAGCCCGGCCGGTCACTTGCAAATCCATCGCACAGAGACTGGCGACCCAGTGCCTGGATCACCAACCTACACCCGTCCCACCCGTCTCCACTGTCCACGCTAAACTCGAGCATTCATGCACAGCATGGGTCTATTCGGTCACGTGCGTGTCCACGAGAGCGGAATTCTAAGACACCCAGCACACGCACCATGCCTAACCCCGCCCACGCTCCACAGACCAGCGCGCCCACCGCCACCAGTTCCAGCACACCCAGTACATCTTGCACACCCACTATACTCAGCCCAACCCACACCCCATCGCCTAGCGCGCCCACCACCACTACCACCGACTTCTCATGTCCACACTGTCCCCGTACATTCACCTCACGCATCGGCCTAGTCGGTCACTTGCGAATCCATCGCACGGAGAGTGGCGAACCGGTGCCTGGAGCACCAACCTACACTTGCCGCATCCACCTCCACTGTCCACATTTCATTCGCACATCCATTCACCGCACGGATCTAATAGGCCACATGCTCGTTCACGAAAACCTGCGGTAGACCACCTCCTGCTGTATCACACCATCACGTCCTCCCCCACTAGCATCTCACCGCACATCAATCTCACCCATCTCAAACAGCCAACCGCCATCTCCCACACAAGTGAGAATCATCCCTCTAGGCTCCTTCTCTATGCTGCCCCCCAGCTGCATGTGTGATTGGAATCTGAGACTGCCACGGTGCGTCGAGCGCCGTGGCTTGGATGGGAACCGACTGACGCCCCAACTCAGCTCACACAGTCCCTCCAGTTGTGTATATATGTGTGTGTGTGTTGTGTGGAGTAGCGGAGTGGTGGGCTGAGAGCCAGACTGAAGCGGCTCCTTCTCCAGAAATCTGTGGCACTCATGTATGTTAGGAGTGTGTGTACTCTATGGGTGGTGTCTCTCAATCGACGACTGTTTGGTTACCTAACCTTGAAGAATGACGGCCCGGGCTGTATGCAGGACCACTTGTCGCCCTTCTAGGTCAAGAGGTCAGTAAGCGTGTGCTAGGCCAGTACCATCAAACTATGGCCCTCGCAGCCTGGTATGCGCTAGCTGTTCCCCGACACCTAGTTCCCTACCGGTAGATGCGCTTGCGCTCCCGCTAGGTACACAAGTGGTAAGTATGGCTGTCCAGTCATCCTCGTCGCTCTGGCCTCCTTTGGGGTGCTGTTGTTGTTGTTGGCGCAAAATCCCGGTCATTTGCTGTAGGGACCAGGGGGTGTGGTGGCACGCCTAGGTGCGACTCCGGACGTGCCAGCCACCTGCGCCCTCCCCCACCTCCGGTCTTCTTGACTCTGTCTTGAAAGCGGGTCTAGGTGGGGAAGGAGGAGAGGGTGCGGCAGATGCCGTGAAAGTCCACTATCACTATAAACTAATTCACGCACAAGCCACCGTCCCTGCTCTCAACTTGCACCGTGTACTCCGGTGGACATCGTCGAACTCGACGGTTGAACTATCGTGTGCGTGTTTGTGTGGAGAAGTTTGTTGCAAGTGTGCTTGCACTGCTCTGTTTTCTCGCAGGTTTTTGCGTGCGCGTGTGACCAAACAGGCCCCTGGAGGCGTTTGAACGCCCTTGAACAGCGTAGGCGGTTAAGGCTTGTGTGACAGATGAATGTCAATACAGCAGACACTGGTTATTCGAGCACATTGCGAAAGATTTTCGGGTGGCAGACCAGTCCGACACGCAATCGAGTGGTACGATGGCAGTGTGGACAATATGACATTGTGACTACGTCGCTGATGATGGCGGTGGATGTCAGTTGAGTCCTGGCAGTCTTTCCGTCGAGGTGGGTGCGAAGATTCCCGATCAGGACATACCGAGATTAGAAAGTCACAGTCTACTGAGAAGTGCGAGGAGCTCCTTCAATGAAAGTGCTGGTGACAGTGATAGTGGTGCTAGAGGTGGAATGATCCTAGCCTGTGCCCTGAATGTTCTTTTACAATGTGGATATGATGGCAAAGATTGGGTGATTACGTTGTTATCCGCGACACATGAGCCTTGTGAAATTATCTGCCTTGGCTGCCTCTATTCAGTTTGCCTCGAAGATGGCAGTTCTAGTTCTTACGGCAGTACACCATGCCACCCGATTTTCATAGAGTTTTCCGATGCGGCTGCATAGGACCCCGTTTAACTGTAACCCTTATCACCCCCATGTACGTTGACTCTGGCGATAATTAGCGGCTTCGGATGTTTCACACCGTAACTGTTTCCCTCCAGAAGGTCCGTAAAACCAGATACGGTGGAAGCAAATTGATCTGACAGTTGACTGAGCGGTCGATGGACGTCCTGGCTTCTTGGACCCGCTTTGACGTGTGATCATCGTCCCGCCCTCAATCCTAACGCGTCAAAGACGAAGATGGGTCCCGTCTGCGTCGTATAGGTTTATACCTCTGACTTCGAGTCCAACATTGCACGGCAGGCTGATGGTCATGCATTCACATTTCGCAGCCGTCGGTAGGTTTATTTAGCGTAATTGTACCCTCCCACAGCTACACTGAAGTTGGTAGACAACGGTCGACTTCTCCTGGTTAGGAATGGTGTCTTTTGGCTGCATCATCTGTCGGCGAATTATCAAATCGGACTTGTGAACAACTCCTATTCCGAGTGGCGTGAGGGACCTAGCCACGGCTTCTGAAACCCCTTCATATACGGAATGCCCCGCGATGTTTTCGGTTGACTATACTTTTCATTCCGCTGCCTTTGTGGCCTTCGACTCCTCCCAACAAATGGTCGCAGATAACCGTTAGCTCTAAGGAATTGTTGAAGAAGGTCCTTCTCATTCCGTTCGGCAACTGACTTGCTGCAATGACTTTTAATCCACTGGTATAGCGTGCGTGTGGGTGATTGTTATTGTAACTGAACATTTGCAGCGTATTCGTCGGATTTCTGTAATGAAATCCATGCGAATGATTCTCCAGTTTCAGAAGATGGATGGGTGAACTCCCCACTCGAAAGATCAGACCTCAAATAGATCTGCCTCAGTCAATGCCACTTCTTTTAAGGACGCCTGTCTCTTGCTTTGATAGCACACCTTGTAGAGACACTAATTGGCGTCAACAAAGGTCCCAGCTTCCAAGATCGAGCATGTGGTTGTGATGGCACTATAGTAAGAACTGGTTGACCTTCCACTAGTCATATTTGCATGCGAACCGTTATGGCATTTTTGTGCAAGGTCTGGTCCGGTGTGAGAATCCTAAACCGCAAGCACTAATAATCAGTTGCACGTTTTCATTTGCTTCATCGCCACAACATGACAGGGAAAAGGGTGGAGATCCCAAAATCCTTGTTTAATCTTTGCCTCTCTCTAACCGTAAAAACAAGACTGCCAAAGGTAGAAAAGAATTTGTCAAAAGAAAATGACTCAATAAAGTCTACCAAGTCAAACGTGACGGCAACTTAAATTACTCCTAGGAGAGGAAAAGTTTATTATTCCTTTCGTTGTTGAACCTCACCGTTCCCCTCACGGGTACCCCTCTATTACCACAGAGGATATGTCAATGTTTTGTCTTTTTTGCGGCCTTCTTCCCTCCTTTGGCTTTCTTGCCGGCGGGACCCTTTGTTTTCGCTTGTTTTTCTTTCGCCCGTTTACCTTTTGTTTTCCCTCCACCTTTTGCTTTCTTGGCGTCCTTCTTGCCACCTCCACCCTTCTTGTCACCCTTCTTTCCCTTCCCTTTAGCTCCCTTTGCATCTGCTTTTGCCGCCTTACCCTTGCCAGCCACGTTTTTTGCACCCCTCTTTTTCTTTTCGTTCGAGGGGGCCTGTTCTGCAGTGCGGGAGGTCCCCGACCGTGTGACCTCATTGGTGTTCACCAAAGAAGTCTCTGTCGTTGTCGGCTCTGGTGTGGTTGTGGTAACTTCTGTCTGGGTAACGAGGGTCGATGGTGTGATTAAGAGGTCGGAAGGGTTGCCATTATCCCCCGTAGTGGGACCCTCGACCCCTGATGACGGAAGCTCGGATCCCTCAGTTTCCAAGGCGGCACCAGAGGTTCCGTCACCTGGTGGAGCAACCACACTATCTGAACCACGGTCTGATATTGCCGCGGCGGACAGAGATAACCTGGTTCCCTTGC